CTAAGCCATCTCCCCAGCTCTTGATTTTTTCTTTCAACTTTTGACCAAAGCATGATATCTTCCTTTAACTTTGCTCTTCTCAGTGATTTCTACTTTAGTGTCCATATGATCAGAAAACATGTTCTGGATGATGCCTTCTCTAAGGATTCTGGTACTGTTTTTGAAATTTCCTTTTGTGTTTTTATTGTAAGTTTTTACAATGTCCCACCCATGTTGTATATTACAGATATAAAATTTTATAATGCATGTTTGTTTTATTTATGTACTCATTGCATTAATTATTGTTGAGGCAATTGATAGTATTAGCCACTTTCTGTCTGATTTATAGATAATGAAAAAGAGTCTGATTTATAGATAATGAAAAAGAGACAACAGAAATCCATATCATGTATAATAGAGATAAGCATTGTCCACGATGTAGCTTCATTCTCTTTTGTTTAAATTATTTAGTTTGAGAGTATATTACTAGGTGTATTTGAGCTCAGCGTTTTTACTTCTTTGAATGCTTCTGGGATCATTATATAAGACCTTTCCTCATTTCCAGTAGTTCTTTTTTACCTGAAAGCTTGTTAATCTGATAACACTGTTGCAGCATCACTTTTCAGTTTTTAGTATATACTTAATATATTCTCTTATATTTTTAACTTGACTATGCTTAATTTGTAGTTGTTTCTTTTGTACATTTTGGATTTTAAAAGCTCATTATCTTCATCTTTTAATTGAGTTTGATGTGTTTATATTTATTTTGATTACTAGCTTATTTGTATATAGACATTAATATTCACTAAAATATAAAGTGCTTCAGTTTCCCAGTAAAATTCTTGTTTTGTATGCTTTTATACTAGTTTATTGGTGTCATTTAGGTACACATAATGATCGCACGCATCATAGAGAATTTGTACCTGTATGTGATATATTTTGATTCTTTTTTCCTCTGTTCACCTCTCCTCAATTCAATCTCTCTTCTCCTCATTTAAAAAACTTCCTTTACACTTTATCCTTTTTTTCTTATTTTCCTTTCTCCATTCTCATTTCCTTTTTTAACAACTTCTGTTTGCCATTATCTGTTACATACTTGTGTTCTTGTTTATACTTTCAATTTCTCATACCAAAGAGGCACTACAGTATTTATACACTTGACCAACTTATTTCATGTAACACTGTGGTCTCGGGGGACAACCCACTCGGACCCCCCTCCTGTCCCTCTCTCGGGCCTGAGCTTTCTTTCCCTCAATAAATATATTCTGCTCATTAAAAAAACCCAAAAAACTGTGGTCTCAAGATCCATCCATTTATAATTTTTTTAAGTTTATCCTTTTTTATTGCTGAGTAGTACTCCACTGTTTTAGATTTTTTTGTATATGAAGAATTTTAATTGGGTCTGAGCAAGGAAAAGAAAGAAAGGGATAAATGGGCATAATTAACATTTAAAGAAAATTATGGAAAATCCAGAATAATTAATTACAATAGCAAATAATTATTGTCTATGAATATAATTTTATTTTTTAAATAATTTCATTGAGAAACAAATAGCAATGAGACAGTTTCAAAACAGATAAGACAGTTTCAATAATTAGCACTTTGCATATTGTTGTCTTAGTGGTTATTCATTGTACAAGATGCAGACATGTTATCCTGTCCAAAAACACTACTATAACAAATCTTTCTATTCATTGAATTAAGAGAATGCAGCTGTATATCTCTCCTGTTTGGATAGATATACAAAATGGTTATTCATTTGTATCCCTTTTCTTTGTTTAGTATTGTCAGAGAGGGTTATTCCATTGTCAGTCAAATATTGTAGGTGTGTGAATTCAGCAAAATATTCCAATATAGTCCAGTAGTCCATACTAGTAGTGGGTTTTCCATAAAACTGTCAATATCAGAGGTTGTTGACTTGCGCCTTTTATAGCTCAACATACTAACATGACTTTACTTTTTATATTTTGTTTTCGTACATTTCTGCTAGATGATTAAGACCAAGATAAAGCAACACTGATATAACAAGAACTGTAACTTTTGTATCTGATAAGGTCAGTCAAATCCCCTCAAGATTTATTCTGAAACTTTGTACTGCAGTTTGTAGATCCTTTGTCAGTGTCAGATACGTCATGGACATTGATTGACCAATTTGCAATCTGTGAAAGCTTGAGAGAACGTTTTCTTTCCAATTGACTCACCTTAGGAACACTCTACACCATCAATCACTTTCCTCTATGGCCCCATAATTTCCTTGATCAGAAAATTTGGGACACAGCTGAGTTACATGATGTTACAGTACAGGTTCTCATATGTCCTGAGTCCTAATTGACCTTGGAAGGCTAGGGCCAAAATGTTGGCTGTCCTTGCAGTTTTTTTCTCTAATTTTTGATCTGCAAACTTAGGTTATTAACCCTCCAGAAGAACAGAGGAATGCTATTGACTTTTGGCTATTGACTTTGTATCTTGATGAGTTTATGTATCCTAGTAGCTTCTTCATGGAGTTTTTGGGTCTTCCAAGAAACGTATCACAGCTTTGCACAGTGGTAATATTGTAACCAATGAGGTTTATCAGAAGAACGATTATTGCTAATTGAAAACTTTTCCCAAGAAATGTATCATGTTATCTGCAAATAATGATAATTTAACTTCTTTACCTATTCTTATTTCTTTCATTTCTGTCTCTTGTCTAATGGTTCTAGCTAATGATTCCAAAACTATATTGAATAGGAGTGGTGGTAGAAGACAACCTTGTCTTGTACCAGATCTGAGAGTAAAAGATTTCAGTTTTTCCCTGTTTAGAATTATGTTAGGCAATGGGTTGTCATAGATGGCTTTATCAGATTGAAATAGAGGCCATCTATTCCAATTTTCTGTACAACTTTAAACATAAATGAGTGTTGGACTTTGTCAAAAGCCTTTTCTGCATCAATTGAGATGATCATGTGGTTTTGAGATGTGGCTCTATTGATACAGTGTATTCCATTCATAGATTTGTGTCTATTGAACCATCTTTGCATGCCTGGGATGAATCTTACCAGGTCATGGTGTATAATCTTCTTGATGATTTGCTGTATTCTTTTTGCTAGGACTTTATTGAGGATTTTTGCATGTATGTTCATGAGTGAGATTGGCCTGTAGTTTTTGTTTTGTTTTGTTTTGTTTTGTTTTGTTTTTTTAGTTTCGTCTTTTCCTGGTTTTGGTATCAGTATAATACTTGCCTCCAGGAATGATTTTGGGAGAATTGCTTCCTTTTCAATTTCATCGAACAGATTGAGGAGTATAAGGATTATATCTTCTGTAAATTTCTTGTAGAATTCAGCTGTGAATCCATGAGGACCTGGACTTTTGTTTGTTGGCAGGTTTTTTATTAATTTTGTACTTCATTGGTTGTTACTGCCTTATTCATAGTTGTTATATCTTCTTGATTCCGTTTTGGTAATTTTTCACTTTGTAATCATCTGTCCATTTGTTCTGTGTCTTCTATTGTGTAAGAGTTAAGATTCTCAAAGAGGCTATTGATGATCTTTTGAATTTCTACTGGGTCTGATAATTACACCATTTTCATTCCTTGATGCTTGTATTTGAATTTTTTCCTTCCTCTTTTTGATGAGGTTACCTAGGGGCTACTGAATTTTTTTTAATCTTTGAAAGAACCGGTTTTTGATTCATTAATTCTTAGAACTGTTTTTGTCGTCTCGATTGAATTAATTTCTGCCCTATTCTTTATGATTTCTTCCCATCTTTGGGCTGTGGGTTTGGTTTGCTCTTTCTTTTCTAGATGTTGGAGGTGCAACATAGGGTGTATATTTGTTCGCATTCTGTTTTCCTAATGTGTAAGTTCACAGCTATAAATTACCCTCTAAGGACTACTTTCACTGGATCCAATAAATTCTGATAAGTTGTGTTTGAATTTTCATTAAATTGTAGATATTGTTCAATTTTTGTTTAATTTCATCTGTGACCCATTGGTTGCTGAGTAGGGTGTTGTTTATTTTCCATGTATTTAGGGTTTTTTTCTGGTTTCTTTTGTCCTTCATTTCCAGTTTCATTGCACTGTGGTCAGATAATGTGCATGGGATAATTTCTGTTTTCTTGCATATACTTAAGCATGACCTATGGATTATATGTGGTGTATTTCAGAAAATGACCCAAAAGTACCTGAAAAAAAATGTGTATTCAGCTATGGTTGGGTGGAACACTCTGTATATGTCCACTAAATCCATTTGTTCCAATCTTTGATTCAGTACTGCTACTTTTTCGCTAATTTTTTGTCTGCTTGACCTATCTTTTTGGGATTAGGGGGTGTTAAGGTCTCCTCTTAAGATTGTGGTATTGGATATTAGATTTTTCATGTCCATTAAGATTTGTCTTATATATTTGTGTGATCCCGTGTTTGGCATGTACATATTTATGAGTGTTACCTCTTCCTCTCGTATTTTTCTTCCAAACTGAATATAGTCGCCTTCTCATTTTTCATTTGATCATTCTTTGTTTGAAGTTGAGCTTGTCTGTGAATAGAATTGCTACCCCTGCTTTTTTCTGAGGTGCTGCGGCATGTAGTATTCTTTTCCATCCTTTGACTTTTAGCCTATGAATGTCTTTATGAGTTAGATGTGTTTCTTGTATGCAGCCTATTGTTGGATTTTGTTTCCTAATCCTCTCTGCCGGTTTATTGCTTTTCATTGGTGAATTGAGTCCATTTACATTGATGGTTATAGTTGGTATGTATTGCTTTACTTTCGACATATTATTTACCTGCTGTTTACTCCTTTTTCTCCTGTGTTTGTTTGCCCTATTTAGTTGGTTCCTTCTGTCCTCCTTCTGGAGTTCTGATCATTTTGGTCCCTCTCTAGAACATCTTTTAGTAGTCTGTGTACTATTGGCTTTGTCATCATGAAATTCTTTAGTTATTTTTTGTCATGGAACTATTTCCCTTCTCCATGAAACTTGAAAGAGTTTTGCAGGGTACAGTAGTCTAGGCTGGAATTTGTTTTCATAAAGGACTTAAAGTACTCTGCTCCATGCTCTATTTGCCTTCATGCTTTGTGAAGAAGTCTGCCGTGATTCTGATGTGTTTTCCTTTAAATGTGATCTGTTTCTTTTTTCTAGCATCCTTCAGTATATTGTTCTTTTGCTGGGTTTATGGGATCTTGACTGTTATATGTCTTGGTGTGTTTTTAATTGATTTGAAGTTATCTGTAGTTCTGTATGCTTTGGTTACCTGAATGTCAGATTTTTTTCCTTATGTTTGGGAAGTTTTCTGCTATTACTTCAGCCCATATTCTTATTATATCATTTGTATTGACTCCTTTGTCATTGTTGTCTATTAGTCTCATGTTGTTCATCTTTCAATCATCTTGCGGGTGATGAATTATTTTTTTTCTGCATCCTATTTGTTTTTAAGAGATCGTTTTTTTTTTTACCTTTTCACTAGCTGCGATGGCATCTTCAAGATCTGAAACTCTATCTTCACTTTCACTCAAATGATTTTGTAAGAGTGTGATTAAGATTTTAAGTTCCTCTATATCTTTTTGACTCTGCTTCATGCGAAGTATTTCTTGTATTGCTCATTCAAGGAATCTATCAATTTTTTAATCTCTTCTATTTTTTTATCAGTGTCTTTTTAAGCAGTTATTAATTCTTTTACTACAGAGATTATTTCTGATTTGTTTACCTCTATATGTTTCTGCATTTGATTCTTTACTTCAGAGGCTATTATTACTTCAGAGATTTTTTTATTTCAGAGATTATTTCTGATCTGAGTTACTCTATACCTTTCTGCTGTTGTGTTTTTACTTCAGATGCTATTGATTCAGATAAGTCAGCTGTGTGATTCCCAATTTCTTCTGTTTTAGTGTCCTCTGTACTTGTTCTGGGTGACCTCAAGGTCTGAAATTACATTTTGGTCCTTCTCTTCGTCATTTTCTATCGCACTGTCCTCTGACCTTTGGTGTAGAGTTTTCATGCATTTATAATCTTGGCACCTGAAGTTTGTGTGCCGATCTACTAAGTTTGAGTTCATCCAGTTGTGCTTGTCTTGGTCTGGCTGCTGTGCTCAGCTTCTTCCCCCTGCAGCCGTTGGAGGTGAACCTATTGTGCCCCTCTGGCAAGATGTTCTGCTCTTGAATTAGCTGGGTAGTTCTGGCCCCTATTCTCTCTTCAGGACTTCTGCTGCAGAGTTTTACCCCAGGCCTATAAGCCAGGCTTGGGTTGGGTCTGGAGGGCTGCAGGGGGTGCAGGGGTGTCGGGAACCTCTCCCACACAGTTGCAGGGCCTGGTCTGTGGCTAGGCCTGGAGGTGTCCCGAGAGTGTGGTAGGATTTCTCACTAATGTGGTGGGCTTCTGCTGACTCCAGAGGGGTGAAGGTGTCCCAGGTGCTCGGCGGAATGTCTCACTCACACAGTGGGCCTGGGCTTGGTCTGGAGAGGCCCGGGGTCACAGAGGAACTCGGAAGCTTTCCCACACACTGGCAGAGCCTGGTATTGGGCTGGGTCTGGAGGTGTCCAGAGAGCCTGGCGGAAGTTCTCACACAGAAGGCGGACTTGGGCTGACTCCAGAGGAGTGGAGAGGTCCTGAGAGCTTCTTGGAAGGTCTCACTCATGAGGCGGGCCTGAGCTTGCTCCAGAGAGGTCCAGCAGGTGCAGGGGAGTGCGGAAGCTCTCCCACACACTTGCTGAGCCTGGCGTAATACTCCATTGTAAAAAACAAATCTTTTTTATTCATCCTTGGAAGGGCATTGTTTCCAAGATTTAACTATTGCAAACTGTGCTACTATAAACAAGAGTGCCCATATATCACTGTAGTTTGACATTTTTAATTATTTTAGAAGATTCCATGAAGAGAAACAGTTAGGTAAATGGGACCTCTAGTCCTAGGTTTTTGAGCAGTCTCCACCCTGATTTCCACAGCATTGGATCAATCTACATTCCCAACAACAATGGAGAAGGGTTCTTTTTTCCCACATCCCTCTAGTATTTGTTATTGGTTCATTTCTTGGTAATAGTCATTCTTTCTGAGATGTGATGGAATCTCAGTATTGTTTTAATTTTTGTCTCTTGAATGACCAGTGATGTTGAACTCTTTTTCATCCATTTTTTTGATGTTTCTTTTTTTTCATCTGAAAACTGCGTATTCATCTCAAGTGTTCATTGTGGATTAGATTTTCAAACTTGGAGGGATCTGATTTCTTTCAGTGTTTATATTTTAAATGTTCTTTGAGTAACATGTGGTTAAAAGTTTTTCTCCCCCTGTAGGATATCTTTTCAAGCCATTGATGATTTTTTTTTTCTCTGTACAACCTTTTAAATTTAGTTGACTTTTTTGTAGTATTTTCTGTGCATGATAGTTTTTATTCCTGGAGTCTTTGTCTACACCTATGACTTCAAGAGTTCTACCTATTTTATCTTAGAAAAATTTAGTATTTCTGTTTTAATATTTAAATCTTTTATCTATTTTTGATTTCAGTTTAGTGCATGGTAAGAGATAGTGGTCTGCTTTTAGTCTTCAGGATGTGAAAAGCCAGTTGTAGGAAAATTTATGAAAGAGGCTGTCTTCCAATCAGGATGTTTGGCCCCTTTGTCAAAGATAAAGTGGCTAAGTGATCAATATTACAAAATGTCTTTTTAATAAAAAATTGCAAAGCTTGAATTAAGTAAGAGTCTAATAGTAGAAGACATGAAAAACCATCCTACAGAAAACAGAACCTTTGCCTTGTAGTATAGCTTTATAAATTCAACCAAGAGCATCTTTTAATAAGAAATCTTTGCTTTTTACTTATAAATAATTTAACCTTTTAATTATAAACAATTAAATACATTATAATTTGTTCAGTAACTTTTGGAGGGGTGACACCATACAATCAGGGAAAGAATGGTCATGTTTCCCATCCATAGAGGAAGCTAAACAGATATGGGGGAGTTCTGCCCAGCAGTTTCTCCAGGCATAAGGGGTCCCCACTTAGTGATCTTATGAATTTTTCCCAGTATCATATGAAAACCAGATCATAACAGTTTACACTTTATTTTTGACCAATGAGAGACTTTATACACAGACAGCATTGGGTGTTGTACATGTAAAGCCAATGTTTCATACCATTTTTGATTGGCTGACATCCTGGGTAGAAGTCTTTAACTTTAAAGATTGTCATTTTTGTATATAACCCAATTTAAACTATAGATGTTTTAATAAGTTTGGATAAATATTTTAATGTTTTAATAAATGTTTTAATACATTTGGCTGTCTTGAAAACCTGTATAAACTCAGCTTTTCTATTCCTCCAGAACTAGACCTCCAGAGTTTCAGGCTCAGCACTCTAGCCATTCACTTGTTCAGAACCTGGGGAAATTAAGCAGGATCTAGGAAGCTTGGGTTTGTAAGAGAGTGAGCTCTCTTTGTTTTCAGATTTACTCAGCCATAGCTTTCTGGGAGCTATGGCCACGTGCATACTCAAAAGAGATGCTATTGGAAGGGCCAGCTCCCCATAGATCAGAATAATTCTTATCTCCCCATCCCACCCCCAAAACTCAGTAGCAAGGAGGGGTCACATTTCTTTGTGCAGAGTGAATTGGCCAGAAATTAAAATTTCATCATAAAGTCAACATTGAGCCTAACCTTTTTATTTTATTCGGTTCTCATGGAAACAATTAAATTCATGATCTGCGGTGCCACTGTATATAAATTGATAGAGGTTTGTGTTTTTATATACCAAGTAAGATCAGTCTTTTAAATGGCTACCCCTTGTCTCCTTTGTATCTTACTGAAGATATCTGAGGGGTAGGTATCTTGTTTTCAACCACCTGGCCTCCCTTCTCTCTTATTCAATTCTCTGGTGAAGCTTTCTTTCTAGTCAGGAGTAGCCAGAAAACCCAGTGAGACTTTTGCCTGTTTACAGATCCCTTTCCCTACATTACTTTTATTAATGACTTGGTTCATAAACTTCACATCAGGTAATACTAATTGAACCTTATAATTTTTTTTAATATATATATTTTGCTTGTGACCATTTTGGTTCACAATCAGAATCATGTAAGTTTGTGGAACAACATATTGCCATATTAATTTCTTTGCTGATCTCTAAGTATTTATTACTTTATCTGTCTACGCAACTTTTTTGGGTTTAAGATGTTTTTCCTAAAATGCATTCTCTGTTTGCTTCAGTGGGATCTAGTAAAAGATAATCTCTTTCTGAAAAAGAAAATATTTTATACCCTTGAGTGACAGTGAATAATGGGCTTTAAGTATGCAGTTATTTTTCCAGCAGCTCTTAGAAAATCCTTCTTGCTCTGCCCTCTGTGGTGGTGGTGAGCTTAATAGCACTTACTTGGTGTCAATCCTTTTTTTCCAGGTGGCTTTTCAGAAGGTTCTTTATCTGTAGAATCCTGCAACTTGACTTTGTGTCTTCCAGTAATTTATTCTTCTTTATCCTGCTTAGGATTTAGTTTTCCTATTCATCAGTGCCTGTCTTTTGTGAATTCTGAGAACTTTTTAGCTGATGATTATTTGAATGTTGTTTATACCCTTTCCTTGGGTTTATGCTGTTAAGCCTGATACTTCCTGTTTGAGTTGTCTCCATTCTAGAATAAAGGTCCCAGTGCTGACTCTTACTCCTGGAGAGATTGGTTTTGATTGGGAAGGTTTTGTTTTCCCTCTCTTGAGTCTTCTGAAGCCTTGACTATGGACATGATGTTTTAGTTTGGCTTGATTTGCTTCAGTGAGGTACTGTGCTGAGTTCTAGGCTACACAGGATTCCTATGTCAAGTTAACAGTGTAAGTTATTCCTGATGACCTTCTAGAGCTATAGGTGAGTTCATAGACTGCTCATTAGAAACTGTTTTCCTTCCCTGCTCAAAGTGCTGAACAGAAATAGCTTCCTTGTGTCATGTCATACCCCCTTTCTGGCAGCTTTCAGGCTTGGTTGTACCTGTTCTTAGTAATGTATTATGTATGTGAGTTACAATGTCATGAAGTGGTTTTGACTCTCATAGTAGCAATATTACGTTATGGTCAGGCTTGTCTACCCAGGGTTTTTTGTTTGTTTTAAAAATTTTTTGTGGGGAGGGGTCACCAACCTCTGCATAATTAGGGAGGATTTGGAACACTTAAAGAGTGCGCCCAGAAATAAGCAGGTAAATAATATAACAGATTGGGAGTCACAGTGGTTAAGGTGGTAGGTAACACTGGATTTTAAGGAAGCCCTTGAAAGCCTTCTGAAGAAGACAAAAACCATTTAGAGGGTACCTTTTATGGACTACACACTTTCATAATGACAATTAACTTAAAAGATAAGATGTTAGAAGTCATCTGACTTAATAGATGAAAGAAGTAATCGCAAAGGCCAGCTGATATCCGTCAGTATCCAAAGTTCTCAGTGCCCATAATGCAGATGGTATCTGTCTCATAATTCTATAAATCATTTTCTGTTCACTGAGTTTTGTCTTTAGTGTAAACCAGTCTGCTTATGTGAATTTAGTTATCTTTACTCTTTCCATAGTTTTCTAGCATTTTAAATTATGTTTCTGATATTGAAAAGCATCTGGGAACAATATTTTTCAGTCTTTTCTGGCTGTAGTATGCTTTACAGAGTAACCTAGTACACAGGCCAGTACAAATTCAAACCAGAGTTCCGTGGTACATCCTTTGCTTAGCCATGTGCACATGATGGCTTGCATGTCTTCTGTTCCTTTCTAGTCTGCCATTTACCTCCTTTTGTCAGAATAGGTTGGTTGTGACTGACTGACCTGCTCTGGTGGCCCCTCTGCCTCATGGCCATAGTTGTACCCCATGCTTTTGAACAGTGGCTGTAGCTTGAGCGTGTCTGCAGAGAGTAGAGCAATCTCAAGAGCCCATCCTCCTGTTCCAGCCACACTCAGACCTGTTTCCTGTGTAGCTTCCCATGCTAAACGTTTTTATTTTTTTTAAAGGGTGGTGGGGATCCTCTTTAAGTGTCATTCCAGCATTAATTTCACAAATTGGAAATACTCTTTCAGTAGCTTTTTTTTTTTTTTTTCGGACTGGAGATCAAACTCAGGACCCTGCGCTTGCCAGGCAGGCATTTAGGCCACTGAGCTGTCTCCCCAGTCCAAACCATATTTATTTATAAACTACTTACTTATATAAGCTCATAGCTCATTCTGTCTCTTCTTGTCTTTAATCTTGTTTGTTGTGTGCTTCCTTCTTGTTTGACTTATTCCATATGTTTCCTTCCAAGATATCTTAGCTGTTTATTTCTTAAGGAAGGTTAAAACCAAAGAAAAAAATTTGCCGTTTCTTTATCTCAGAATTCTAGCTTGTTTCTTTTTTGTTTATGGAATACTTTTTTTTTTTTCAAGTAATACCCTTAACAGTAGCTTACTTGAGACTAATGGAAAAGCATTGTTTTTTAATATACCATTCTGTAATTTTATTTGGGGGAGGAGGTGGTTGGTACTAGGATTGAACCTGAAGCCTTCCCACTGAACTACACCCCTAGTCTTTTAATTTTTATTTTGAAAATAAGAAGTTGCCCACGCTCAGTTTGAGTTTGTGACCTTCCTACCTTTGATTCCCCACAGTGCTAGTTTTACAGGCATGTACCACAGTAGCTGACTTTTAATTTTACTTTTAAAAAAGCAGAAAAATTAAAGAGAAGATTGGAATGGAAATAAGGTAAGAGGATAGCACATGACATAAATATTTGTTGAAGCATACTGCTTTTTGTTTCTTCACCAGCCCTCCAAGCCACAAGATTGTGGTGAATGGGAAAGAATGTATAAACTTTGCCTCCTTTAATTTTCTTGGATTGTTGGATAACCCTCGGGTTAAGGTAAGTAGCACATAGTGTTGAAGTGGGTGAATAGTATACTTACTAAAGAAATAAGACGTAAAATAAAAGACAAATGTGGACCCTCAGAATGGGCTATGTTAAGTGTTTCCCATTACTCTTTGATAGAGCTGTAACCTGAAGTTAAACAAGACAAGAATATCTAATGGGGCCTAGTACTGGGTGACAGAGAACCCAGTATGCAAGACCTGGGTAATAGAAAAATATCTAGAAAATAGCCCACATTCTTTTGGGATTTTGGACCAACAAACATTTTAAGGAAAAGACATGAACACAGTTGCAAAAAGCATAAGGGTATTGAGTGAAACAGGTGTTGAATAGTGTAGGTTTTCTGTTTTAAGCCAAATACCTGAAACTTTACATTTGTATTTTGCTTATATCCTATTAGAATTGTCATTGTTGTAAGGAATAAAGGAAAGTGTGGGAAGGAGGAACAATGGAAAAAACGGAAGTGTAGGTTAAAGAATAAGGGATTCTTTGTGCTTTTCTAAATAAATTATTAAAATATTTTTTTTTGCTTCAATTAAGGCAGCAGCTTTAGCGTCTCTAAAGAAGTATGGTGTGGGGACCTGTGGACCTAGAGGTTTTTATGGGACATTTGGTAAGTTGTACTCTTCCGATTATTACTTTCTGGGGGTAAGATTTGATTTGATTTTAAAACTCCTTGAGAAAGGTATCCTTAATCAGTGATTTGTGCAAATTTTTACCTTTTACTTTTGGGTTTTGAAGCTTTATTGGGAAATGCTATTGTCTGGATTATAGGATGGTATCTCAGTACTCTTCTCTCGTTGCTGGGACAAATACCCGACAGATGAAGGAAGGAAAGGTTTATTCAGCTCAGTCAGTGGAAGTTTCAGTCTCTACTTAGCTGGCTGCATGACAGACTGGCATATTCTAGAGAGCAGTGTTTCATGGTGGCAACAAAAAGCAAAGGAGTGAAGGGAGTGGCAGCAGCTCAGGCAGCTAGCTAGCCTCTCTTCCTTGCATTGTAATGCAAATTACCTGCCCCAGGGTTGGTGCAGCACTCACACCCACAGTAATCAGTGACAGACTCCAGAAGCTGCCCCATGACTGTATGAGGCTGTGGGGGGACAACTGGATACAAACCATAACAGATGGTGAGCTATAGATTCCTCCAAATATGCTATATGGGTTGCTGTTGCATCTGCCCCCAAGACTGAAAATTACAGCAGGAAGGTGAACCAGATGTGGGTGGCTGTGTTCTCTGGGTTGTGCAAGAACCCAAATCTTCCTTGTCTCATTGCCTAAGTATCTGAGGACACTATTCTTGTTTGTGTAGAAGACACCAGGTCACAGTGTGGAGAGAAAGAAGTGCAGGCAAGCAGTACCCTTTGCATGTGTATGGTTGCTTTGTCCCTCATTTCTGCCCACTGTCCCATAGTGAGCACTTAGATTAGTCCCTGCCTAGCAGCTGCACAGCTGTGTGCCTGGAAGAAAGACAGGAACAGTTTTGCTATGGAGGGGAGCTAAATTAATGTAGCTCTTTTCTTTTTGAATGTCAATGAAGGATTACTGATTTACTTGTGTATGGATGGCCCTAGGACAAGTTAACTAAATATTTGGACAAATGAATATCAAATAGTTTGAACTATTTGATTTAGAAAGTTGATTTTGTTTTTTAATTAAGTGAGTATTGTTTTTTGTTTTTGAAATGTCATTAAATAACAAATGACTATATTGACAAATAACATTTTGGCTTATAAAATGTCTAAGTATGAGGAAAGCAGAAAAGGAACTTTCTTCTATCTCTTTATCTTCATTTTCATTTCTGGATCTTTCGGTTTTTAGGATTTAACATGTTTTATATCAGGAATCTTTCTTCCTTAGTTTGGGGTTACACTATTTCATGTTGAAAATGTGTGAGGAACATTAGTGCTCAAGAACCTTACAGCTGAAAGAGATATCAGAAGTTGTTTTCCCTCATCTTAACTACTCAGACTAGAAAGGGAAAGTCCAGAGAAGTTGGTACAGTAGTTCCTCGCTATTTCATGGTTCAACATTCACAAATTTACTGTTTCATGGGTTTTCAAAAAAAATTAATCTAAATTATTTATCGTGAATTTTTCACTATATTGCAGGATTTTGCAGTAGTGTAAGTTCTGTGAGTTTAGAAATGGTCAAGAAGTGTTTTTAAAAATGTGGGAAAGGTTTATAAGAGTGTGGAGAAGGTTCGTAAAGCCTTAACATATATATAAATACTAAAGTAAATACGTCATTACTACTTCGCTGATTTTCTCTTACTGTGGAAGTGTCTGGAATGTAACCTCCCCATAAGTGAGGAACCACTGTACCTGCATCACTAGACCCAGCAGCCTCACTTCCAGTCTTGATGGCAAGAACAAAGGACTGAGCTTAGATCAGAGCCTTCCACTTTCCTATATTCTAAAGTAAATGTTGTGTGCTTAGTTTTTATTGTAAGGAAATGATTTCCTTAACAAAGTACTAGAAAACTAGAAAAAAAAATCATTTTTATAAGGCTTCTAGTAGTCATCTGGTTAATAAGGCTTTATTCCTGTGACTGTTTCCTGGGATGAAAAATTTATTTATTTTTTAATAGTTTAGTCTACAGGGTCTCACTATGTAGATTGGATTCTTAGTAATTCTGCTTTCAGCCTCCCAAGCACTGGGATTACGGGCACATGCCACCACACCCAGTCTCAATTGCCATCTCAATGTGCCCCGGGGGGAGGGCCAGCAGGGCATGTCAGGGACCCAACTTGGTCCCTGCTGTCTGCCTAAGCAGGTGCTTTAGTCTGCTAAGCTATCAGGCGGGCCCAAGTTTACTTTCTTAAAAGCCTTCCTTTCCTGTGGTTTTAGTTGCATGTGTGACCTTGACCTTGACTAGGAGTCATGGTGGGAAGATGAGAGATATACTACCAAAAACTGAGGGGAGAGTGTTTCAAATCCCTGAGATCAGTTTTCTTAAAGCTGTGAAATACATGTTGTTATGTAGGTCGATCAACTTTACAATTGAGGAAATCTGTATATTAGCATACTAAGTGTTTTTAAATATGGGAATCTTGAGGTTAATGGCTGTTAAATCAATTTCTGATGGAGTAATTTTAGTTCAGGACCTAAACTTAAAATCAGAAGATTCAGATAGATGTGGTAAATCTTTGACTCCCTCATCCTTTCTTTTCTACCCCTACCTGGTGTGCCTTCCTCCCCTCAAAAAGACAAGTTACTATCAGCAGTTCCTTCTTAATTCTTTCAGGTAACTTTTTTCAACATTCTCAAATCATATTCCCCCTATTTTTGCAAAAAATGATACACAAACATTTTTTTTAATTATTTCTTTGGTTAGGTTTGGTTTTATTTTGTAACGTGGGGATTGAACCCAGAGTCTTTCACATTTATCATTGAGTGGCACTGTAGCCCAAAAATGAATGTTTTAATTTATTTTTATTTTTATTTTATTTTTTTGTATTTTAGGACAGGCTCTACAGGGTCTCACTGCGTAGATTGGACTTACAGTGATCCTACTGTTTACAGCCTCCCAAGCGCTGAGATTACAGGTCCACGCCACCATACCCAATCTCATGGCAGCTTCAGGGTGCCCCAGGGGCAGGCCCAGAGATTGAACTCCAGGCCCCTGTGTCTGCCTAAGCAGGCACTTTAATGCACTGAGCTGTTTGGCTGACCCCCAAAAATGACTGTTTTAAATTCAAATTGGAGTTGATCTTTGAAGTCGGAATGGTCCACAAGAGGTAGCAGTGAATACACAGTTGTATACTTTGTTGGTCACTGGTTCATTTTTATTCTAAAGCTAGTTGAAAATTCAAACAGACTTTGGCATCTAAACTAAATTAACTTGTGGTGGGACAGTTTTGTAAGGAAACATTGCCCCTAAAAGTAATGTGTGTTTGTTTTTTGAGTGTGTTGTCCTGCAGGTAAGCTTGTGTTATTCCTTACCAATTATTCAAGCCCTTATTCACATGTATATTTTTTGTTTTCCAAAAGGGCTTTTTAATTTTAAAGTAGTCTTTTGAGTAATTTGTTAATTAACTTACTATGAAATTTTAGCATTTGATTAAATCAGCGAAATGTCTTGGATTCATCACAGTCTAAATTTTAAGGGTCTAAAATATCTGCCACACTTTAAATACCAGTAAAGTACATTTACCTGAACTGATTGTGAAGGTCCTGGGCTCACCCAAGTACTACTCCCCCACCCCTAAAAAAAGACAGAATTTCATTCTCTCTCTCTCTCTTTTTTTTTTTTTTTTTAGAATTTCATTCTCTGAGCCAAGAAGCATGCTTTTAATTTTGCCTTACGTTCCATATTCTCTCTTTTCAAAGCCTGCTTCTTAGCTCTATTCTCACCTTTTCAGATAATGAAAATAAATCATTTGTGATAAAAATAAATTTTCTTATTGAGACATTTTCTCTTGTTACTGTTCTGTAATAACATGAGTTAGATGGTCAACAACTGAGTCAAAGTCTCTATAGATTTTTAGGCTGTATACTGTTTTTCTCCTAGGGGCTTAGAACTAAAATAAGTTGTTAGAAATAGGGATCAAGGGGCTGGGGAGATGGCTCAGTGGAATAAGCGCTTCCCTGGCAAGCACAAGGACCTGAGTTCAATCCCCGGTTCCACCAAAAAAAAAAAAAAAAAAAAAAAAAAAAAAAGAGTGATCAGTGTATGATGTATACATATATAGAAATATCACAGTAAGTTCAATTAATATTGCAATTAATATATGTTAATAATTAAAACTGAATTTTAAAAAAGGAGGAAACTGGAATGTCTTTCTACTTACACTTTCAGTGATGTATTTCAGAACTGAGTGAGTAGATTTGCCAAGTTGTGGTCCCTTCTCTCTGAAGGGTGGTCCAGTCCTTATGCATTTAGAGAATTTGTTTTTGTTTCATTATTTGTTTTATTTTTCACCCATTTAGTTTTTACTTACTATGGATTTTCATGATGTCAAAGGATCTGTTTTGCATATGGAGTGCCTCCACGACTCTTTGGTCTTACACTAAATCAAAAGTAGTTGTGTGGCAGAGTTTGATGGTGAAAGGCAATGTATTTAGTTCTCTTCTGTAAGCAGTAATAAAGTTCTTCACTTGGATGATTTTAAAAAATAAAAAATGAAATAGAACTCTCCTTTTGTTTTAGAGCACTCAGCTAAACCATAATTGCATGTTTTATTAAGAAGAATATTTGATCATAAAATTTTTAGATCTTCTGCTTATTCCTTCCATATGTTATGGAATCATAGTTTCTCAGGTGTTGGGTGGGAACAGTCTATGCTTGCACAGCTTAAAAAACATTTTAGGAAATATCTCAAAATGCCCCACATGTGAAAATATTCTGAAAACTACATTAATGTGTATTGTAAATATGTAGCTGCTATTATTTTTGCTTCTAGGAGAAATTGTCCATGTCTCCAGGTTTTCTTTTTCTTTTAAAGAACAGTTTGTATGTAAAAATGAGAAATTTGTTTTTACAATTTTTTTTTATTTTCTTCAGAAACAAATAGCAATGAGACAGTTTTAAACCTGATTAGTGGGACAGTTTCAATAATTAATACATTGCATATTGTTGTCATTATAGTGGTTATTCATAGTATAAAATGC